TTCTCTCCCAGCAAAAAATAATCCCTCTTTGGGAGAGAGGAACAAGGTTAGTTAGAGTATAGCAAATACAAGATTTTTAAGTCAGGATGGAAAAAGGGAAGCCCCTTGAACACTCCATACTGACATGTGCCCTGCTGGAGTTATGAAACCCCAAGTATAGTTATTGTTCACAAAATCATTATTTATACTAACATGTAAAGGGCTTAATATTTTTACATAACTAATATCTTTATAGTATCTCAGGTTTTAATTTCTGATATAGTATTAATAGATAAAATCCATATAAATCAATGTTCTTTAGGAGCCTCAGAAATTATAAGAATGAAAAGGGGTCCTCACAAAGATAAACAGCTGGGACTACATCAAATTAAAGAGCTTCTGCACAGCAAAAGAGACAATAACAAAAACAAAGAGAAACCCCACCAACTGGGAGAACATTTTTGCACCCAACACTAATGATAAAGGACTGATCACAAAAATCTGCAAAGAGCTGATGAGACTCAGCAACAACAAAGAAAATAATCCAGTCAAAAAATGGGCAGAAGAGCTAAAAAGAAACTTCTCTGAAGAGGAAATGCAAATGGCCAACAGGCATATGAAAAAATGTTCAACATCACTTGTAATCAGGGAAATGCAAATCAAAACTACCATGAGATACCATCTTACACCAGTGAGAGTGGCACATATTAAAAAAACTAGCAACAGCAAATGTTGGCGAGGTTGTGGAGAAAAAGGAACTCTCCTGCACTGTTGGTGGGAGTGCAAACTGGTCCAACCACTATGGAGAGCTGTGTGGAGATTTCTGGACCTACTAAACATAGAGCTTCCATAGGATCCAGCAATTCCACTCCTAGGTATTTACCCAAAGGACACAGAAACATCAATTCCAAAGAACACCTGCACCCCTATGTTTATAGCAGCACTGTTTACAATAGCTAAGCTTTGGAAACAGCCCAAATGCCCAAAAATAGATGACTGGATCAAGAAGATGTGGTACATATATACCATGGAATATTACTCAGCATTCAAAAAAGATAAACACATGCAATTTGCAGCAACATGGATGGCGCTGGAAGGGATCATGCTCAGCGAAATAAGCCAGAAAGAAAAAGAAAAATACCGGATGGTCTCACTCATAGCAGGAATCTAGAAAACTTAAATAAGGGACCAGGAAAATGAATAACTACAAGAAAGTGAAAATCAAAATCAACAAAAAACTATGAACCAGAGACACTTTTTGGGGAGTGGGGGCCGGGAGGGGAGGGATTGGGGTCAGAATGGGGGGTTTGCAATTGTATGGGGGAATATAAAAATAAAATTTATTATTTAAAAAAAAAAAAAAAAGAAAAGGGGTCCTCAGACCAGAAATTTGGAGACGCCACCCTAATGCATTTTGACCATGGAAATCTTTCTCTGTAGAACACCTGGAGCATATTCTATGAAACATATAATGGGAAACAATCTGTGCTTATGAAATTGTTCCTTTCCCTACCTCTTCTCTCCAAACATTCTTCAGTAAGTTTATTTATATGCTGATCCAAGAATTTCCACTCCAACAGGAGTTTTATGCTTACGACCCTGGCAGTAAACACACATATGTCCTTTGGCAAACTTGGTCGATGCTGACCTCATCTATTTAGAAGACGTCTTAATCTAGAGAATTATTTCACTGAGCAAATGTTATAAATAGTGCAGAGAAATGATGACATGGTTTAACATGCTCCTATAGCAGATAATCCTCTGTTCTAAGACACAGTGCCAAGGAGGTCCCAAAATCTAAAAAATATTTTAAAAAGTTAGAACCATGGCCCCTTTGGCTCACCATTCAGTTTCCAACAACAGAATCCCTGGCTGAGGCACGTATGTTACAAACTCCTCATAAAAAGAGCGGGAGGACATCAGTTTATTACCTGGCATCCTGACAAGTTGTATCTGTAAAAATTGTATGCGAGCCAAAAGTAACTTAAGAACAAATTCATATTTCTAGCATGGCTTTTCAGAATGCAGTCTAAGGCCAATTCTCAAACTTTAGCAAGACTGGAAGCCCCAATTACAGAATTCAGTTTTAAATCTTGTCAGGTATTTGAAGGACCGCCCAGAAATCTGTTCTCAGCTGGCAGCAAAAGGGTTTGGGGAAAGAGGCAAAAGCACAAAGTGCTGAAAAACAAGCGGATGCAGAAACTCTCCCCCAGGAAACGCAGTCCTTAATCAGAGCTAGCCCGAGCACAGCCTGTTCAACCCTCTGCTTTCCAAGCTGGAGTTTTTCCAACTATTAGGGACCATTAAGTTTATACAGTTTTCTAAGTGTCTAGTTTATAAAATGCAGCTCAAGGATGACCAGGATCTCATCCTGCGAGCTAAGAACACTCATCTCTGCTCCTTTTTCTTTTTAGCTAAAACTTGCAAGGGAATCAGCATGCAATCTGCTCCCAACCAAACTTTCTTTAATGAAAATTTTTATGGCCACAAATGCTTGCTAAGTTTCTAGTCCCATTCTAGTTCATTTATTTCCTCCCAGTAACTCTGTGAGACAGAGACTATAATTATCCCCATTTTACAGATGAGGAGACAGGCGCGGTGTTGCCTGAGGCAGCCCAGTTTATAGGTGGTAGAGACAGTACAGAATCCAGGAAGTTAGTCCATCTACACCGCTGAAAGGGGATGCCGTCCTGCCCACTGAAAACGCATGGACAACAAATGATTTATAATAAGAGAAATGCAATTTTATGGGTGAAATGGTGGTTTTAGCTCCAGATTAGCCTTCTTTCAAAGAGCCTTACCAGCGCGCAGGCTGTTAGGCTGCATTCTCTGTCTTCTGTCAGGCGCTATTCACCAACCGCTTGGTATTTACCCACTGAGGCGCCTGCCTTCCAGCTAGCCTGTGCTAACGTCCTCTCACAGGGATCTTGAAGCAGCATCACTCAGTGGATGAATAAAAGAACCCAGAAATGCAAAACAAAATCTACTTAGTCTTGAGAACATTAATTTCCAAATGAGGTCTGTGCACCCTGGAGGGTATGCAAAAAACCCAGTGGGGTGCAGGAAGAAGACATTAGCATTCTATTTCTATTTGCTGACATTTACCACATGGATTGACACTGGTGTCCTCACTCGGTGTGTGGCAGACAGCCACACAGGCCTGCTAGGCTAGGGAGGCCTAGCTGGGCATTCCTCAGCTCCATGGGTAAGCCGGGGGCCCTCACCTGTTTGTTTGCTTTCTCAGTATGTTATAGGACAGGGAGAGGGTCAGCCCAAACCCCGCAAACCTGCCTATTCTAAATGGGTTCTGCCATCCGCCGCATCAACACAAAACATAGGAGACTTTAATGGGAAGGAACTTTAATAAAACTAGGAAACAATACAGGTAAGGCAAAGAGTCTAGTTTCTAAATGAAGCACCCAAAGTTACCCGTCCCCTCGTGGGTAAAAGTCCATCCAAATGGGATTGGTCCAGAACAAGGCCCCAAAGCCTGCTACAAGTCTAAAGCATCTTCCAGTGGGGACCCACAGAAAAGGGTCACAAACAACCAGACAAGCCCGGAAGGAAAAGAGCAAAATCAACATCAAGATAAAAGCTGCCATGGTCACCTCCCCACGGGTCTCACCCACATCTGTGTCACCCAGTCCACAACCAAAAGACAAGCGCAGTTTCTTCACGTGTCTCTAGGCTCTACGCTCCTCCTCCAGGTCTCCTGGCTCCATCCTGCTCCTTCCTCAGTCTCTTCTGCAGCTTCTCCTCTTCCTGCTCAGCTCCACCCTCCCTTGGGTGGGGCAGGGAACCTTCCCCTTTCCTGGGACCACCCTGTTACAAGTAGGCTGTACCAAATTGCAGTTTGCATGGGCCCATGAGAGTGGCTGCATGTTATTTTCAATTTTACCTACGCTAATGCTCACAAAATGGACGAGTGGTTTTAAGCGAGTCTTGCATCTGCCAAATGCAAGCACAAATGTACAGAAAATAGAATTGAAAACATTTCTACCATTTCTCATATCATATTTTTCTCAGCCACATCATGAAATGTAATAACAAGCTATCAGATGTGACAAGAAGTTGACAAAAACAAAGAACCAAATATTGGACATTTATATAGCATGCAACTTGACAAAGTAAAAAACTAGTGGATTAGAATAAACACAGTGAAGGCTCTGCAGTTCAGAGAGGGGGTGGGAAAGGCTAAGAGAATAAAAGAAATAAAAATGTATTTGTGTCCACTGAAGTTTGGGGGAAAAAAATGAACGCATCAAAACTTACAGTCACATACATGGTTCTTATCAATGGTCTTTGCCTAAGTGAATATTGTGCTGTGGGAAATTGCCTAGCAGTATTCTTGTATAGTTTATAAATAAATATATTTTTATTAATAGGATAAATGCAAGTAGAAAACACAGTCATTTCCAACAAAATGGAGGGAATTTGAGGGAATTATGTGCAGCAAAGTCAGCCAGAACAATAATTTTCAAAAACTAGTAGATGCCAATAAAGATCCAGAGGACTCTGAGGGCAGGTGGGAGGGGGAGGCAGGGAACACAGGACAGAGAGGGCAGGACACTCACTGACAAGACCTTTGCTGCTCAGAGCAATTGAAATGTGCAACATCAGCCTCACCTGGCAGCTTGTCAGAAATGCAGGGTCTTAGGGCCCATCCCAGACCCACTGAACTAGAACTTCATTTTAACAAAATCCCCAGGTGATTCTCGTGCACACGTCTGTCTGAGAAGCACTGCTTTAGACACATGTCCTAATGGATCCTAACAATTCAGCTCTTAACCATAAGTTTAGACAGGTTTCTCTGTTGAATTGTTGAATTCATCAATTTATAATTTCTAGTATCTGTCATGAAATGTCTTCAAGCAATCCACTCTGACCTCACAAAAATCCAGTGACAAAATCTAGGTAGCATTATCCCTTATTCATTCCAACCAACTGGAATGAATGTCCATGACCCCCCAGTAACAGCCATCCAGCCACACCTTAATCTTTGGAATCCTCACCCCACTTACTTTTGTTTGATCGTCGGCTTTGAACACATAGCAGATGCTCTGCTGACTGGTTTTGTGATCCTTAATCAGACAAGCAAAGTAACTTGGGTCGTGACTGTTGTGGATCAGTTTGTGGACATGCTGAGGTTTACACTCAAAGATGTTGGAACAGATCAGTGGGTCCCACTGCTGGCTCTTCCCTGGCTCGGGTTCACATTTCAATCCAGAGGGCGACACACAAAGCCTGACTTGCTTGGTGCCAGGCTCCCTTTTGGAAGTCTGAGCACTGAGCCTTCGCACCTCCGCCACCACCCAGGGCAGCATGGGCATCGTGGTGAGAGAGTGCACGGGCAGCGAGCCCACCAGCTGAAGGCTGAAATCCACTGAGACCTCGTTAGGAAACAGATGTTTTCTCGCTGTGAATGTTATTGGTTCCATCTTGGGAAAAGTCTGGAAACTCAGCAAATCGTTGCCACTGTTTTTCTATTTTAGACCAATCTATGAAACAGATGCAGAATCCTGGGGAAGAAAAAACAGAGACATTAGAATTTAATGAAGTCATAGCCATAGCTACTTTCAAAGAGCTATTATTACAGAAAAACTTAACAAGTTTGAAACCAAACCTAGGAAGAAACGGATATAGTGCAAATACATTGCTCTGCCTAGAATGAGCTTTCTTGAAACTATTCTATATAAAACCCGAAAATGGCATAATTCTTATTATGGGTTATAAAGATCCCACGGGAAACTCCTCATAACCTAAGCCTCTTAGAATCAGCAAGGCAGTGAAACCCTACTATATTCTTCAATATGCATTTCAAGGAACTTTTAAAAGATAAATTAAATTCAGTACTGGTGACTCCCATCCCTCCAGGAAAAAATAATCTTGTAAGAGAACAGTGTCAGCTGTCCCTAGCAGAGTCTACTGAAACAGGCCAGGCGGCAGTGCAGGCTGTTGAGTGCTGCGCTGTGGAGCTGTGTGGACGGTTTGATCCTGGCCAGCTGGAGAGGGTCCCACATAGCGTGGCAGACCTCTCCTGTCTTTCCCGCTGCTCCCCGCAGCAGTGTATTTTGTCAGTCTGCCTGTTCTGCTCCCCACTCTGTCTCTGGTGAATCCTCTCACCCCCCACACCTCTTCCTTCCCTATACCACTTTCTCCAAAGTCTACACCTGCTGTCTCCACTTCCTCTGTCCCTCCCCCACTACCTTAGCACTGGAGGAGAGTCACAGCATTGCTCTCCTTCAGTTTTAAACAATTGACTCTTCACTTACAACACTTAAGTTTGTTTTTTTTTTCTTTTGTGGGACCCTCACCGGTGGCCGGGGATCCAACTGGTGCTGCAGAGGCTGAGGGCAGCCTTGCAACCCAGCGCTCAACTGCTGCGCCACCAGGGGAGGCCCAACACTTAAGTTTTAAAAGGCTTTCCTGTCATACTCTGGAAGTTCTGAATCACAATTTCAGGCACCATTAACATATATTCAGTACCTGTGATGTTCCACACATGGTCATAAATATTGTTTTATTTAATTCATCCATAATAATCACCAGCTCACATCTTCCCTCATCAATAGAAAATGTTGCTTCTACTAAACCCGAACACACTCAACTCTGCCTCTCTGGCTATAGATGATTTTCAACAACCACACTTGATATATTTTCATGACTTCCCATAAAACCCTTCTGTTTTGGGGTTGTAAAAACAGATAAAAGCCTTGGTCATCTGCAGGTCTTAGGCGCTTTAGTTTTTTGCTGCCAGGATCTTTATTCTCTCCCAGATTCACCTGGGCATATATATGAAAGCTAAGGAGAAAGTCTAAGAAGGTAGGGACTACGTCTGTCTGATTCACCATTTTGTCGCAGTGCCAGGGATGGTGATTCAGAATAAGCTCAACAAACATTTTAAAGAAGTGAATTTAAAAAAAAAAAAAAAGCTATTTTCCCTTGACCTCAAACTTCTCTCAACCACAACTCTTCCTTCCCTATACCACTTTCTCCAAAGTCTACACCTGCTGTCTCCACTTCCTCTGGCCCCTCCCCCACTACGGTAGCACTGGAGGAGAGTCACAGCATTGCTCTCCTTCAGGTAGCCCACATCCCTGGCTGTGAAATCCACAGGGGCTTTGTAGTCCTTGACCACCCTGTCCTCGATGAATTTCCCAATGCTGCACACTCCTTGCTGCTTGAAACACTGTTCTCATCTCACCTCTCTGGAGGTTTCTTTTCAGGTTCTTTGATGGCTTTCTTTCCCTCTTTACTGCTGTTCTCTACCCTCTCTCCAGCTGTTTGCTTTCAACACAATCTCATCTAATCCCTTGGTGTCAAGAACCAGATCCTACTACTCCCACTGCTGATGACAACCACTTTCCTTTAGAATACCAGCCACTTTGCATGTATTATCTCCTTTCATCTTCATAAAAACCTTCATCTCTAACCTCTGTCTTAGAGACTACTAGTAGTGCCACTTTTTAAATTTTTAAAAAAGATTTATTTATTTAGGCATAAAAGAACTGGGGTACAGGCCAGAGGTGTGGGGGGTGAGAGGATTCACCAGAGACAGAGTGGGGAGCAGAACAGGCAGACTGATGAAATACACTGCTGAGGGGAGCAGCGGGAAAGACAGGAGAGGTCTGCCAGCTATGTGGGACCCTCTCCGGCTGGCCAGGATCAAACCGTCCACACAGCTCCACAGCGCAGCACTCAACCGCCTGCGCCACCAGGGGAGGCCCAGCCATCCTATTCATTTTAAGGATCTGAATAGGTGTCCTTTGAAAAAACTGTTATGCTCCTAAAACTCTTAAGGCTTGGGGTTTCTAAAACCAATCTTCAAATTCTAAGCAGTTTCTGAAATAGAACTGGTCTCTTCTTTTTACTCTATGTTTTTTCATAGTATATACATGAATATATTCTAATTTTTATAGTACCATTTGAACAGTTTGGAACTATTTTTATTTTAAATGTTCAAAAGTTCAGAAATAAACCCATACTTTATTTAGAGTTCCAATATAGTTCAGGAACGCATATTCCATGTCTCTTTTCCTTTAAAGTACAACTACTTTTGATGATGAAAACAGACTTGAAGTTCTCATAACCCCATAAATAATAGTCTCCCTCTATTTCTCTCTCTTAACTACAGGTGAAAGTGGCATTAAATGTCTGGCTCAACTTCCACTCCTGTAACTGAATCTGCTTCAAGTTCTAACCGTTGACAGCTGCTAATCCTAAAACATGTTTAAAGAAGTACTAGAATTATTACAAAGGATAGACCAGGGTCTATCAGGCAGTGTAGATAAGGCAGTTAATACAGTGGCAAGAGTAGAAACAGTGTTCCTTTAAGGTGTTCTTGTAAAGAAACCTCTGCATAGGGCCAAAAATGACACGACTTAGTCATTTCGGAATTGGGTAATCAGTCATCAAATTAGTTCTATCATTTCATTGACAAAAGTATTTGAATATCTACAGTTTTCACTTTTCAACCAGCTGCGGCACCATTCTCAGTTTCTCTGCAGAAAGTAGAGTGGGCCTCAACACTACTTATAGACTCTCAAATCATGAGTTTTACTTCAGACATAACCACAATTATTTATAAGCAATTCAGATACTGCTGATATAAAATTCATGGGAATAGGAACAGGCTGGGTGAGTAATTGCTTGCATTACTTTTCAATAAGAAGCTCCGTGAGAGGGGCGAGGTGGAGACTAATAAAAAAATCCATAAAACAAATGAACTATTCAAATGACTTAACAAACCCTTAGATTATTTCTTTTTTAAATTTTAAAAATTTTTTTATGTATTTATGCATATAAGAGCTGGGGTACAGGCCAGAGATACAGGGGGTGAGAGGATTTACCAGAGACAGAGTGGGGAACAGCAGATTGACCAAAGTACACTGCTGAGGGGAGCAGCAGGAAGCAGGAGAGGTCTGCTGGGCCATGTGGGCTGCTTCCTGGCCAGCCGGGGATCGAACTTGTGCTGCAGATGGTGCAAATTGCTTTGTAGTGCAGTGCTTAACCCCTTGTGCCACCAGGGAGGCCCCTTCAGATTATTTCTTACTCAGACTCAGCCCACATTTTTTGCAGGAAACCTCTGACCATTCTCTAAGCCCACCCTGAGGAGAAGCATCTGTTCCAAGAGGCCTCTTAGGCCTCAGGCCAGTGAGAAATCCTATGATCTGTGATTCTGGTCAGCTTCTGGATGCCATGGTCCATAAACATGGTCAGTGCCCAAAACACAGATACTTTCTTATTAGGGCAGTTTCCATAACCTTGCTGGTGAACCCTGCTATGATAAATTTCCCTGGAATCATGCACACAGAATCATGGCAGTTTAAAGGCTAGAAAAGGGGCCTCCCTGGTGGCGCAAGGGGTTAAGTCTCAGTACTATGAAGCTATCTACAGCCTCTGAAGCAGGGAGTTCGATCCCAGGCCAGAGAGCGACCTACACATGGCCCAGCAGACCTCTCCTGTCTCGCCCACTGCTCCCCTCAGCAGTGTATTTCAATCAATCTGCCTGTTCTGTTCCCCGCTCTTGTCTAATGAATCTTCTCACCCCCCACACTCTGGCCTGTACCCCAGTTCTTTGTATGCATAAATAAATAAATATTTAAAAATAAATAAAAGCTAAAAAAGTCCCTTTGAAATCATTTAGAGATTTTCCTCATATTTGAAATGAGACGACTTGGCTCTGGAGCAGTCAAGTGACTTGTCCAAATTTGGTGGCCGAACGGGGACAATCCGAGTCCCTGACTTTCATACAAAGAACCTCAGTTTCCTCGTGTAAACACTTGCAAGTATGAAGTGGGAAAAGCAAGTTACTTAACTTCTCCAAGTTACTTAACTTCTTATTCTTATAAGATACTGGAGCAAGATCACCCCCAAGTTTCCTTCTAACTCTAAAATCTGGTGAATCTAATTTCCATAATGTATAATACCAAATGTCCCCAACATTGTGTGGGGATAGAAAGCTGCTTTCATCCTTCTTTCAAGAATATAAATGTGGGAGAGATATGTGAGGCAATGGGGGGAAGAGGAAGGGGTTGGAGCTTACTGATGAGGAAGCGAGAGATGCAGCTATGGGAGTTAGTGGATTGCCATTGGGAACCCCCTCACTTCCCAGCCTTCCTCCCAGCAAACCACAGCGAGCAGGATGGGGACTTTCCAGCAGCACAATACCAAAGCCTTTGCAGCTTCAACCCTCACCTCCATAGGATGCTGGTGGAAGGGAGGAGGGAGAGAAACAAAGACATGGGAGTGGTGAGGGTAGCCCCAGATCCCAGGCCAGGTTGGAAGCAGTCAGTATTGATTAGCTGTCAGGACCCGGGATAGGCAGGGAGCCACTGGGTGGCCACTTCCCCTTGAGAGTCAATGTTTCAATTTTTCTGTTCTTTACTCCAGGCAGAGTGTGCGTGCTGCTAGGTGGAATCATACTGCCACCTAAGTAACACGCAGTGAGGCCCTGGCTTGGCAAACTACCTGCACTCAGTCCCATTCCTATCAGAGCAGTGTGCTGCTCACCAAGAAATCATCACAGGACCCCAAGAACTTTGGAGCAGTAGGCTGTTTCCCCATCACATGGCGCTCCTGGCGCCAGAGGTTCTAACCTGCTCAGCACCATGGTTGCTTGGCACAGGCATGCACCTCTCTAATTTGACACATAAATTAATGATACTTGGAATGATTTCCTTTCTGGCTAAATCAACGCCAATTCAAGCCCAGTCCTTCAGGACGCCACTGTCACTTCTTGCATTCTCTTCCACTATTGCATAGGATAAATGGGTGGGGGTTCCAACTCAACGGGTCTTCAGAGATTATGTCTAACCCTAAAGATAAATGAGAAGTATATTTTATCAGAAGCCTCCCTTAGCTATTTTTACATGAATCTACCTTAACCAGTAAATAGTGAAGGCAGGATTTGAATCCGAACTTGTCTTACACCCAAATTCCCGTTCTTTGCAATATAACAATATCTCTAAGTAGGGAGTAACTCTAAAATATCTTTCTAATGGATTAACTGGATTGTTTTTCTATCTGAATTTTGCTAGGCCTAAGTAATCCAAATCTAATGTCAAAATTATATTGCTCCTGGGCCTCCCTGGTGGCACAAGGGGTTAAGTCTCAGCACTATTACACTATCAGCAGCCACTGCAGCAAGAGTTCGATCCCAGACCAGAGAGCTAACCCAGACGGCGCAGCAGACCTCTCCTGTCTTGCCCTCTGCTCCCCTCAGCAGCATATATCAGTAGATCCACCTGTTCTGCTCCCTACTCTGTCTCTGATGAATCCTCTCACACATACACACCCCCAGCTGCCGCACCTCTGGCCTACACCCCAGCTCTTGTATGCATAAATAAATAAAGAATAAATCTTAAAAAATATATACATATTGCTCCTAAAAGTGTAGACTAAACAAATAACTATAACAGAAACAATAAGTAATATTTGAGTGCTCACAATCTACCAAACATATACTAAAGACTTTATACGTATAAATTCATTAACATAAAATGAGATTAAACACTTAACCTGTTTTAGAAGCTTAAATTAACTGGTGGTAGATAACGTGCTATTAAATAAGTATATTCTCTTTTCAGGAGAAAAAATAGCTGCTGCTTGTCACAAAGGAAAACAGGCACACTCAAAACCAAAGGCCTCTTCGTGGCTGCTAAAACCTATTTTCTACATTCTGCACTTCACCAAAACCTAAGATTCAAGATTATTTCCTATGGCCTAAATCTGACAAATCTTTTTCTAAACATTTGAAATCTGGAAAGGGACACATCACTCTTAAATCTAAGAACATATCAAATAGAAATCTCGACTTGAAAATGTCAAAAACCTTCAGAATGGAAACCTGGGTGTGTTTTGTAGAGAATCTGGTTTAAAATTATTTTTATTGCAATGAGGGCTGGAAAGACAGAAAGGAAAGAGCCACAAAGGCCATTGTAAGGTAAAGCCCTGCAGGGACCTACATCCTTTGCCATGACCGGGGATATATGAACGCAATGCACTTGAGCCACTGGGCTGACTACTTGTCATTTTAATGACCAGATCCTGCTGCTCCAAGTTTAATGACCAAGAAAAGGGCTGAGAGACATATCAGGTGTTAAGATCAACATGGCCACTAAACTTGAGAAGGGCAGCACACAGAGAAAAGGGCAAACAAATGATGCCAAGACACCCACACATACGCAGAAGTAAGCCCCCAAATGGGCTGAGAGATATTATAGGGACTTGGGAGACTGAGGACCTTCAGAGAAATGGTATGGCAACAGTAAAAGGGGCCTAAGGAAGTTGTCATTTTCTAAGATAAAAAGAAAAGCAAACTCAGACATAATCCTCTCAGCAGCCACCCCTGACCTAGCATGGTAATGTTTGGAGATACTGGTGAAAATGGGGAACAGGTAAGTTCCATGCTGCTTGGTGCAAGTCAGTGGCACATCATGGAAGATTCTAGATCTCTACAAGAAAAGGGTGCCCTCCCCTACACACATCTGGTTCTGCACACGAGTCCAGCTGATTGCTACTGCTGCCTTCCAGGTAAGTAGGAGAGTGTCAACAGTATGGGAACGAGGGAGAAGGGGCAAGCCACATTTCTTCAGAGTTGCCATTTCTTCCTCAGACCCTGAGTCCTATGACATGCAATGTCAAGTGATATAAGGTGAACACTGAAACGACTGCACCCAATCAGAGATGTGATCACAGTGAAAGGGGAAACCCCAGAGTTCTCAGGGGTAAAGAGAGGTGGTAGGTCTGGCAGGGAGTTCCATTTGCAAAAATTTGCTTTGATGCTAATAGTTTATAACTATACCAATTTTTCTCCTTATTTTACTGGTTTGCAACTAGCTGGACAAATCTTTATTTTCATTATCACCTGTGATTTTATTTAAATAGTCTCAAAATACACCATCTGTGTTCACTTCAGAAATGACCCCTGAACATTTCACACATGCCCTTTAACTCATAGCTGGGCCTACTATCCAGTAGCTCAGTTTTTTTTGTTGTTGAAGATTTATTTATTTATGCATACAAGAACTGGGGTACAGGCCAGAGATTGGGGGGGGTGAGAGGATTCACCAGAGACAGAGTGGGGAGCAGAACAAGCAGACTGACTGAAATACACTGCTGAGGGGAGCAGCAGGTGAGACAGGAGAGGTCTGCCTCGACATGTGGGTTGCTCCCTGGCAGGCTGCAGAGGCTGAGGATTGCTTCATAGTGTGGTGCTTTACCCCTTGTGCCACCAGGGAGGCCCCCAGTAGCTCAGCTTTGTCAATCGTTATCTATAGATCAATCTGGAGCAAAGCATTTTTTATGGTCTTCTTTCCCTATAAGCTGATAAACACTCCCAACCCTAAGGATTTGCAACTGGGGACAGCATTCCATTTCAAACAATTGTAAAACACCTGTTTACAAAAGCAGTCAGTCCTCTTCTACACACTATTTCAAACAACATCCTTATTCCTTAAGGCAATTCTCCAGTTCCCAGGAAGGAGCACACCACCTCCCAACCAGGAGTGGCCATCTCTACTTTTTGGAAAAGGAATAGAACTCACCTGCTTCAGGGGACCCTAACCCAACAGAATGAACATGAGCTCAGAAACAAGAAAAGTGGTTGGGAGGATGGATTCCCAGTCTCTTGGAACATTCTCCCTTGATTTGTCCACTCCAAACCCCTTTCCCTCCCCCTCCAACCCCCCCTCCACAAAACCCAGAGGCGGCCATTCTCCAAATCCTCCTAATCCCGCCACTAGTCCGGGAAGACAATGAATAGCTGCCTTTTTTTTTTTTTTTTTTTAAATCGAGGCCTCTGGGGTTCAGCTTAAGTACATTGCAAAAAGTTTAGAAGTTTGGACATGCAGAGATAGCTGAGTTTCTTGGGTGTGACCCATTTAAACCAGGTCATTTGAAAAGCCTCTTTTCTCCAAGTCTGATTTGTTAAGAAATGAAATGATCCAATCATCTCAAGGGCCGAACGGGAGATCTTAAGTGAGTACCTCTCCATTAACCAAGGGCAATCCGGTGGAAAGAACAGTAATGACTTTCAAATTCATTTCTTTTCCAGCTTCCGGTGAAGAATTTATGGAAAACCAAATCACAACAGGTAAAGCAGCCTCTAAGTGCATTTCAAAGAAAACGACACCTTTTTTTTTTTTTTTTAAGAGAGTGAGTGGCGAAGTTTGAGGAGCTCCCTCCACAATCTCAGACCGATCAGGAAGCTGCTAGAAACGAGCAGGGTTTCAAAACGACTGGTACAGGATGTGCCCATAGAAAGAAATGCTGCGCGCACTGGTGGAACTGCCAAAGTTACTACTGCAAAGTACCCACAACTTTTAAAGGGTGGCACGGCGTCACTCGGCTCGCCCTCCCCCCCAAATTGGGTCGCCTTACAAACACACCCGCCCCCGGGACGTTTGGCGGGCGGGAGGGAGGGGGGCTGGGGTGCGGACAGCAGCGGGCCGCAGCGGTGTGGGGCCGGAGGCGGGGGCCAGACGCAGCTCCAGGGTCCTGAAGAACACGAAGGTTTCGCTTTCGCCCAAGCAGGGGACGACGAGGTGAGGATGAACTTCCTTGCCCCGAGCACCCCGCGCGGCGAGCGCTGCACGAGCACCGCGGAGCTGCGGGTTCCTGCCGCTCGGGGGCCCCGGGAGCGCGGGGCGCGCAGGGGCGGGGGGCGAGCGGGCGGCCCCGGGAGGAGCCCGCGGGGTGGCGGGGGCGCAGCCCCAGAGGGCGCCTACCTGTGCGGCGGCGCGCTCAGAGCCCGGGGCCCGGCCGGGGCGCGCAGGTGCCCGGGAGCCGCGCGCGGATGGCCTGGGCGGGCGGAGCGTCCATCGCGCCCGGCGGGCTCCGCTCTTCCCGCCGCAGGGGGCCGGGCGGGTCCCCTCGGCTCGGCTCCCGCCTCTTCTCGCTCGGCCGCGCGCTCGCTGGGTACCGCGGCGGCCGCAGCAACAGGCTCGGGGGCGCGGGGGCGGCGGGCGCGCGGGAGGAGCAGGAGGAGCGGGAGGAGGTGTCTGCGCGCGGCTCGCGTTTCCTCCTCCCGGGCCGGGCGTGCGAGGGGAGGGCGGGGGCTGGGATCTCCCCGCTGGGCCTCGGGGGGGCTGAGGTGGGGCACGCGGCTCCCCCGTCCCCACCGCGCCGTGTGACACGGCCTGGGGAGCGCAGCCCGGACGGGCGAGTCACACGCGGGCAACAGCTGCTGCAGTGCGGGTCCCCGCGGCCTCCCGCCCCTCCCCGGCGGCCCATCCCGGGCCGGACTCGGGGGCCCCAGCCCGCCCGAGGGAGCGGTGGGGGTGCCGGGGGCGCCGCCCCAGCCAGCTCCGGCGCACGACCTGGGCCGCCGGGGACGCGCGCCCAGCGCGAGATGGAGGCCCTCTCGGCAGGATGTGCGGTCGCACACGCTGTCCTCGCGGCCTATTTATAGCAGGTGGCACTGCCCGCCGCGTCTCGCCCCGCGGGCTCTCAGCAGGTGGCACTGCCTGCCCGCACTTCGCTCCCGGCCGCAGCCCCCCCCCCCCCCCGGGCCTGCATCCTGCCTGCCCGCAAAGCGGGCGAGGTGAAAACTGCGCAGCGCACGGGAGGGGACCAGCCACCTGGCCCTCCCCGGCATCACCCCTTCCTCTTGGCCTCGGGCTGGATGGTGACTGGGAGTGAACCGCAGCACGGCCAGTGCCAGCCTTGCACGAGCAGGAGAGGGAAAAATCAGAGATTCAGGGAAATAGCTAGGCTGACGTGCCCTCCCCCACTAAACACCAGTGAACCCCCAGTCGACCATCTGCGGGGGAGGAGGGGCAGAAATTGGGTTGAGTGCTTTCTCTCTCTCTCTCTCTCTCTCTCTCTCTCTCTCTCTCTCTCTCTCACACACACACACACACACACACACACACACAGACTTGTGGTGTCTGCTTTTGAGTCAGGCTTGGACAAGTTCCCAGCTACCTTATCCAGAGTAAGGAGAAACACCGCTGGCACCTAGGATTAGGTGACAGTGTGCAGGAAAGTTGCAAATCTCCCACATCCCACCCCAGGGCAGTTCCCCTGGGGTGCAGAGTGAGCAGGGGAGGGAACTGAGGAAAGGGAGGAGAGAGCACCATCTCCAGAAAAGCATAAGGGGGTGGGGAGCAGAAAGGCAGGCAAGGGAGGTGGAGGTGCGGGGAAGCAGCCAGTGGAAGGGGCATGGGTGAAGAAACCCCTGGTTGCATCTTGGGGATTTTTCCCCTTCCGTTGCTGGAAGCTCACCTTAGTGAAGTGGCTGAGAAGGTAGGCAGCCCGGCTGGACTTAAACCCAATTCCCAACTCCCGTCTGGTTTGGCTTAGGCAGCTGTAAAATGGAGCCATTGCACACTCCCAGGATCCTTGTGAGGATAACATAGGAACCAGCAGGCAAAGTCTGCCCCGTGGCACACGCATGAGCCGCAGCTAGAGGCGGTAGCTGCTGCCATCTTAGGCTCAAGAGGCAAGTAGAGGCCGGAGGTCCCGCCCCATCTCCAGGAAACTTGTGTGCCTAGAAGCTGATCTAGGTTTTTGAAGCCTTTTTTGTTAAGACTCCCTTATAGGGACCCTCATCCCATCCGCCTGCATGCTCACATCCAGGGGAGGTACATTTACATGGGGCACAAAAGTCTATCCACAATTTGATTTAAGACTCGCACGTGGGTGGCAGTGATGGTTCATTGAGGGACTGGACCCTTTGGAATCTTGTGCTAAGTGCTTGACATGTATCACCTCTGATCCTCCTAGGAGCTCCACTTAACTAATGAGAGAAGTGTAATGCCTCTTGTTGGCCACAGAACTAGTAGTTCCTGGGATCCCCAAGATCCATAGTCCCGTATATCATAACGCATTTCCTTTCTGGTCACTTGTAGCTCTCTTGTGGCTTTCTTTCTCGCATCGCTTGGACCTGCCATCATGACTTCCTGTCTTTTATGTCCAGTTGAGTTGTGCAGCTCTCCCTCCCTCTCCACGGCAGCCTGCTGAATACGTTAACCTCCACAGTACCGGGATGGCCAGACAGGGACACGGTCATCCACTCCCTTCACACCCCAAAACTGCTTCCATCCATGACTTGCCAGATGATGGCTGAAAGGATTTTACCTTACAGCTCTGCCCCTGGGACAGAGGTCATGGCAAGGTTGGACTCTGCTTACAGAACATTCTGGCCAGAATGCCCTCCCATCCTGTCACCTCTCCCTTACTTCTTCAACCACCACCCCCTCCACTGCACCTACTTTCCTGTCCCAGAGGGCAGGGAAAGCTTAGGTACAGTATGGTTCCTGCCCCCCAACCCCCGCCCACCCCCTGGCCCTGAAAATGTACCTAGTTCCAGCTCAGAGAATTATAATTGAGTATGCACCACTTTTCTAGTTCCCAGGGTTAGCTAGTGCCCTAGAAATGACAAGAAGGGACTTCAGAATAATTTTAGCTTCTTGTAAACTGAACTCCCTCTACACTAGAAGGGTTTTCTTTCTTTTTTTTGCTGTCAAGTACCGTTTCAGAGGATTGGGGGCAGTCTGCCATCACCCTCGCTGGAGCTGGTTTCCTGCAGCTCTGGAAGAGGTAGTGAGATTTGGGGACTGCTGGTGACACCTGTCATGGCAGGATAAAGGCTCACCCTGGGAGGGGCTTCCATGTTTGCCCAGTGCAGCCCGGAAAGGTAGAAGCTGTGCACCCCTACCCCCCACACCCCACTTCCCCACACCCCCACACCCCCACACCCCTCACCCCCCCTCCACCTACCCCCCACCCCCCCACCCCGCCTTCCTCTGTGAGTGCTATTCCTTGAGGGAGGAAGTAGCTACTATCTGGTCTTCAGATTAGTGCAGAAGTGTGACCCCAGCAGGGCTGGTGCACCACCGTGGGAGAGGCCTGAGGCAACAGGACCTTGGGAAGGGCAACTAAGAGCTCCCTTGGGGGCCTCCCTGGTGGCACAGGGGGTTAACACAGCACTGTGAAGCTATCCGCAGTCACTGCAGCACGAGTTTGATCCCTGGCCAGGGAGTTACCCACATGGCACAGCAAGACCTCTCTTGTCTTGCCCGCTGCTCCCATCAGCAGTGTATTTCAGTGGATCTGCCTGTTCTGCTCCCCAGTCTGTCTCTGGTGAATCCTCTCACCCCTGCACCTCTGGCCTGTACCCCAGTTCTTATATGCATAAATAAATAAATCTTTATTATGTTAATAATAAATAAATAATAATAAATAAATCTTTGTTATGTTCAGTTGGTAGTTATTTACCAGTAACAAAACTAAGCAGAGAATGGGCTCTGCTTCAGGGCCCTAATCCGCCTGACAGTGGGCTACCAGGGAAGTGGAGCTCTCCCCCACACGGGGCATTTAGCTGCATCAGGTCCTGACCACTGGCTCAATAAGGAAAACCCCTGCAGGGAAGGCATCTACCGTTATGGCCACCACTGTTCACTTGTGTGGACAATCTCTGTCCCTTCAGCTCCTCCTGAAATCCTCACAAGCATCACTTTTTGGGAGCTTCCCCTAAAGACTCTGTCCTAATTTAGTCATTTGCTGCATAATTAGTTATTCATTGCCAAAGGTTTTAAGACAGGTGCCGAGCTCTAGAAAATTGTGAACCACTGAGGCCATTCAGTCAGGTGGGAAACAGGCTGAAAGAAGAGTCATTTTTCATGTAAAAAGTTAAAGGAACCATAAGTAAATCTAGAAAAAGTTTTAGTTAAGGTAGAAAAGCAACCTTGAATCAAATTACTCAGGAACCCAAACTCTAATTATGGTTGATATATTTTCACCTATTTTCCAAATATACATAATGAGGTAAAAGTTCTTAACTAATGGGTCTAGTTCCATAATTGGTGTAGAGGCAAAACATTAAGGTTATCTTGGGTAGGCCTCCCTGGTGGCATAAGGGGTTAAGCACCGCACTATGAAGCAATCTGCAGTCTCTGCAGCACGAGTTCAATCCCCAGCCAGCCAGGGAGAAACCACATGGCAAAGCAGACCTTTCCTGCCTCACCCACTGCTCCCCTCAGCAGTGTATGTCAGTCAGTCTGCCTGTTCTATTCCCCACTCTGTCTCTGGTGAATCCTCTCACCGCCCCCCACATCTCTGGCCTGTACCCCAGCTCTTGTATGCATAAATAATCTTTAAAAAAAAAAAGATTATCTGGGCTAGAGCCCCAAGGATGGTTCACTGATCTACCAGAGTGAAATTTCAAGCCCTTAGCAGGACTTATCAAGTCCTAAGGGACCTACCCCCTCCCTGCCCTTTGGCTAGTGGTGACTTTTTGGAGACCTAAGTGACAGTTTCTGAAGTAAGTTCAAGCTCAGTGGGAAAGCTCTCAAGATTGAGAACAGCATCTGCCTCGAGCTTGAGAGGAGGCAGCCTAGCAGCACCAAGCTGGACATTTGCCTATCTACCAGCCCCAGGCAAAATTATTAGCATCCTAACAGTGTGTGAAATTATGCCCAAGTATCTTTATTGTCTGTAAGAAATATTGTTCATGACAAGAAAATGGATCGAAGTCAAGATCAGAGAATGCATTGATTTGCTTGCAATTTGAGGTTCTTGAAATTGCCTGCTGAAAAGCTTAAGAATAAAATATAGTGGAATAAAAGATATAAATAAATAAAATGAGCAGATAACCAATGGAGATTTTAAAATTTCAGCAATTAAAATTTGTACTGCCTAGCAGAACTCGTGCTGACGGTGGGTGAGACAACCCGCATGCAAGTGGTGTGGGACACAGTGGACCAGATCCCAAGCCCCGGAGTAGGATTCCGTGTAGTGTCTAATCTC